GGTCTAGGCCCGAAACGTCAGCCTTCCTGCTCCTCTGATGCTGCTTGGCCTGCTGTATTCATCCAGCTCTACACCTCGTTATCTCGGATTCTCCAGTATCTGCAGTTCCTACTATCTCTGTCCTAAAAGGAGTTTGTTCCCAGCTCAAAATGAATAAAAGCAAAATACTGCGAATTCTGGAAACCTGAAATAAAAACAGAAAGTTCTGGAGAAACTCAGCATCTGTACAGACAGAAACAGAGTTAACATTTTGAGTTTAATATGATTGCTCTTCAGAGTTGAAAGTGATTGGAAAATTGTGCTTTTTGTGCTATAAACAGCAATTTTCCAAACCCTTTTAGTTCTGAATGACTGTCATACCAGACTCAATACATAAACTCTGTTTCTCTCTCTATGGATGCTGTTAGGTTTCTGCATCATTTTCTGTTTTTATTTCTGTTTAAGTTCAACATTGTACAGGTCCTACCTATCCCAGAACTGATACCAATCTCCCAAGAATGTGGAATGATTTCTTGAAAAGATAATGAAAACAGATAGCAACTTCAAATAAAATTAGATATATATTTGGAATATATATATATTGAGTTTTTTGAAGAAGTCACCAAAAAGATTGATGAAAGCAGAGCAGGAGACGTTGTTCACTTAGACTTTAGTAAAGCCTTCAACAAGGTTCTGCATCATAGACTAATTAATAAAGTTAGATCACATGGGATTCAGGGCAAGCTTGCTAATTGGATACATATTGGCTTAATGGCAGGAGACAGAGAGTGGTGGTGGAGGCTTGCTTTTTGGACTGGAGGCCTGTCACCAGCGGTGTTCCACAGGGTTCGATTCTGGGTCCTCTTGTGTTTGTCATTCAATTGGATGGGATCATAGAAGGCGTTAGTAAGTTTGCAGATGGCACCAAAATTGGTGGCATAGTAGACAGTGAAGAAGTTTTTCTAAGATTACAAAGGGATCTTGATCAAATGGGTCAATGGGCTGACAAATGGCAGATGGAGTTCAATCTGGATAAATGCAAGGTATTGCATTTTGGTACGACAAAGATAGGGGTTATACAATTAATGGTGGGGCCTTGGGTAGTGTTGTAGATCAGAGGGACTAGGGCTGCAGGTACATAATTCTTT